GAAAATATGAAAGAAATTCACTTAATCGCGCGTGTGAAAGTGATCAAGTGCTAAAGAAGATACAATCTGGACAATATTTCTTTTGGACTTTTGGTGACGCTGATGGCGGTGTTCCTGATGGCGGTGTTTGCAGTACCGGAGGAGCCGGTTCGGGCAATAAAATGCTGGCACGAAGGTATATTTCTGTTTTTAATATTATATATAAAAGTACATATAAAAGTATTAAAGTACACTCAATTTTCTTCAAAGTTCTTAATCTAATGATAGACTTCTATTTTGTTACAGAGTGGTGTCGTTGCAGTAAGTGGCCAGCGCACGTGAGTAGACTTTTAGGGTAGGTGATGGGTTTTTTTAAAATCAGTGCGACATAGTCTTTACTTGTTTATCTTGAAGCGTCAAGAAAAAATAATTATTTTAAAGATAAAAATATAGTTTTCGGGCTGTGATTATAAATTTAAATTAAACTTATTCATAGAAATTAAAGTATAATAAAGATTCAGAATAATAAACGTACTTTTAAGATATTTTATATCATTATCAAAGAGATATATTGATTACTTTTTTTAAATCAATTCAGATTGCTTCATATAATGATTATTTTGTACCGGTTTTTTCTCGACGACTTCTCATTTTCAACAAATTGCGAACGTTTAGTTCGCCTTGCGTCGAAATCGACGCCCTGGACCTCGCAAGTGCGAGGAAATCACGCGATCGCGGTCGTGTACGCGGATTTAGATTTCGCGAATTTTTTAATTTAAACCTTCTGCAATTTTCCTCAAGTTTTGTTGTCCATTAATATTGATTAAAAAGTACATTTTTCGCGAGAATTTTACGATAAAGTTAGAAATTTTAGAGACATTCTATCGGAAAAGTATATCGGGAAAGAATATAAGTAGCAGATATTTCTTTAATTTTAACGACTTAGCGTTATTACTACCGCGATTTTTAGTTTTAATTATACGAGTATACGTGATTATTTAGTATCATTGATAAAATCCATCTCGTGAAAGACAATGAAGTACACGTATCAAAAGTTTTACGAAGAAATTGTGATTGATCGCGTTTTACTTCACTTTAATTTAGATTTCGAATGTGTAGATATTTTTCAATATGTTTTTGATTTTGCTTCTTCGATCCGTTCCGTTTTTGATAAACAAATTTCGCAAAGAAATTGCGAACTGATGCTTCGTTGAAGTAACGGAGCAAGATACTTCGCTTTGCTGAGCGGAGTGACTCTCGCAAAAGTTGCGAGACTATTTTTGCGTAAAAAATACGCGAATATTACTATTATAATTAAAACCGCAAATTCCGTTCCGTATATTAACAAAATCAGTATTAAAACTTCGATTTTTGATAGT